TCCCTACAAAGTTAACAAGGTCTGGATAAGGATTTTGCAGTACATAGCACTCTGAACGGTTTAAAGTGATTTTTTTCTTTTGATAATTTTGTTTTGCCACAGGTTAAGATGTTATATTACTTGGAACTGGCTCAGTGCTGGAGACAAATGGTTAAGAGATTAATACAGTTTATATCAGCACTAGAAGTTGTGGATATATGAAATTATAGGAAAATACATTAATGGCATTTATATTGGTAGAACAAAATTAGATTGTATAAGCTCTGTCAAATTCAGTAAAAATATTGATAGAACACAGTGCACACACTGAAGAGCAAATACAAATATAGATGTGTATATCCACACACAAACTTTTTTTTTTTTTAAATACACAGACTTCAATAAAAGGACTTGAGTAGAAATTTTCCTCCAGCAAATTTGAATTAAAATAATGTCTTAATTTAATAGGTTCTCTCTAACCCATCTAAGTTATTGATAAACAGGATAATAAGTTTAGGAACAGATTCATTTGAGAAGAAAATACTTTAAGACAAAGTATTATGTCCTCTATCATACTAATTTTAAAGGCTCCAATGAATTCCAAATGAGGAAAGACTTGAGACTCAAAGGTATGTCAAAATCGTCCCCATAATACAATTGCCCGAACACACATGAAGACAATGTGCACTCAGTTAGTTTTGGAGAAGGTGAAGTCTGATAAACTAAAGCAGAAGCAAAGCAACTTCATAGTAACATGAATCCAAGTCATATCAATATAACAAAAAGGAAAAACATCAGTGTCTTTATCGTATCTTTTTCTGAAAAACAGCTTCTAAAGCTTCAGAGTTATTCTTCTCGAGTTTACATAACTCAATCCAATTATATACACAGATGTTTCACAACTGAGAAAGCAGTCTAACGCAGAGATGGCAGAAAGACTCTTTCAGCTTATCAAAGCAAGGCTGTGATGTGTAAGATGCTGAGATCTACTGCTTCTAAAATCTTTGTAGATATGATGAGCTAGAACAATCAATTCAGTTCATCAGCTGACAACAATACTTTGTTTTCTCTTTCAAACTAATTTCTATAATAATGTTCTGATGAATACTATTGGTGTGTCCATACTACCACAATAGTTTCATTTATTTAAAAAAGCCAAGTTTGAAGTGTTAAGTTTTCTATTTTCCATCAAGACTACATCCAAAGGCAATTCAAGTGTGGGGGGGGAGGGGGGGAGAAGACCAAGGATCTCATTTGACATCTTTTAAAGTAATATAATGAAAATTAAGAATGAGAACCATAAGTTACATGTATATAGTACACCTACCTGATAACTTTAAGTTTGGTACTTCTTTTGCTAAAGATCACATTTTAGCTACATTTCAGCATGTCTATCTGGTTACTAATCAAAGAGAATCAACAGCTCTTCAAGAAAATAATTAAAGTCTTGGAAGCCTTCACAGAAAAAACAGGTTAAATTTATTTACATCAGGATTCTCTGCTTGCTGATTAATGCTGTGATTCAAAAACAATGGTTTAAATGAGTCCACAGTGTACTATATATTTTTTCAATTTAATATATTTTTATACTTTTTCATATATATATGAAATATATATGAAATTATATATGAGACATATACATACACACACATACATATGAAAAAACATATCTAAAGACCACGGAGAATAAAGTTACCTTTTACTTTCCAACTTTTCAAGCTCCTCCCGTTGTTGTCTCTCAAATTCTAGTCTAGAGAAAAAAGGAAAAAAAAAATCAATTAAACAGTATTATTTCTTGACAAAAATTTCACATCAAAAAAGGAGGATGCTACATAATCCATGGTGTCAGTTTAAAAGACTATAATAATGACAGAAATCAAAAGGTTTTCTAAAAACTAATGTCTACAATAACTGAAAATATTTCCTTTATTAGGGTTACAAATTAGATACCATGCTGCCTGACACTTGTGTAGGAACAGAAAAGTAAATGAATTTGGGGGAAAAAAATATTTAAAAAGATAAACAAGACAGATTAATGATTAGCACAGCCTCTGCAAGTTAACTACATGCAGACATGGCAATCAATACATAGAAATTGAATTTCTCTACCTTAGACAGATCGGTCCTTTCACAGGGAAAAGACTGCCATGGGAGGCAGAGGGAAACAGAGTGATCAATTAAGAAGAGAATTGATACAAAAAAACAACACATTAGCAGCAAAGAATATTTTCAAGTTGATAACATTTTGCTTAAATAGAGGCTAAATCGGTTAGATTCAGAGAATAGTCAACTGCATTACAGCTCAAGGTCAAATTTAAACAGCTATTTTTTTCTAAAAAAGCTTTTCAAATGTCTATGATAGTCAATACTAATAATCTTTTCATTTATTAACTTGGCCAGTTCCGAGAAGGGAAAGAAGAAAGAGCATGGATGCAGTTGTTCTTGCTTTTCCTCCTAAGAAAAAATAATTACGATGATGTAATCGGTGGGGTTGACACACTTCAAATTCACGCAAACTGAAATTTCCAAGCATGGAATGCAACAAAGACCATTCATCTAAAATACTTTGAGGCTTTAATGTAATCAGTCTGACAAAGTTCTGAACAATTAAGGGAGAGTATTTTCTGTTATTTTTAATATTAGTTAATAGTACTGTTGCATAGAACTCTTTCTTTGCTTTCAATTTCCTTCGCAACATCTATGCTTTTTGTAAGAAAGTTTTTCAAAACATTAGTCATCAGTTTTTAAAGCACAGAGAACTTATATATACGGACTGAAATATTCAACCAAATACAGAAATATCCAGTTATTTCAGACTCACTAAAACTAAAGATTTCATAGGCTAGTGAGTGAGATAGCTTATAAATGGTTTAAAAAAAAAAAAAAAAAAAGAGCAAGACCACACCATAAGTTAACTTTGGTTATTTGAGGAACTGCAGTTTAATTTAAAACTACTTCATAAGCTAGATTTACGCTGTCATGACTGTAATTGTGTAGACAGCTTTTTAAAAACAGGTACATTTAATATTTCTTTCTAAAATCACACATGTACCTACCCATGATGGAAAGGAAATACTCAGAAAATAAGCAAAAAATATACTAGTGTAAAGTTTATAAAGCAAGTTAAATGAACTTCCATTCAATAAATGCTCAAGAAGCACATTTCGAACCCCTTCAATAATGAAGAAACACAAGTTTAACAATTTACATATTTCCCCATTTCTCACAAGCTCATTTCAAAAAGTGCCTTCTGCATTGCCTGAGATATTAACAAATGTGTGTGTGTGTGTGTGGGGGGGGGTCTTTTATACACAATCTAAGGCAATCATATAAATATGTGACTCACAGTCCTTTCACATTTGCATTAAGCGAAAAGTCGAGGAAGGGCACTTCCGGGCACTCTCTCAATGTTACAGCTCAGGGAAGGATGATAATCATTTAATATTTTTCATTCAATCACAATTTCTGTATCACCTATGTAAAATCCACAAAGTTATCCAAGATATAGAATAAAAATGGATCTTCAGGGACTTTCACAAAGCAAAAGCTTAATTCAGTGGTAACCAAGCTTTTTTTCATGCTCTATCTCAAAAGCCCTTGCTTTGGCTACAGTCTGTTTCCAGAATCCACAGCTGTTAATTCTCACTTCCTAGCTAGGGCTTAGCTGACAAACTTCACCATACTTGTCATTATTTCAGTCCAAAATAACACAGATCCTGGGGGATATAGCTTTGCATTATCAAAATGCAGGTGCCCTTTGAGCACTGTCAGACGTAGATGACCTTCTTTGCTTACAGAGTTGGCAAAGGCGATTTATAAGAATTCTCATATTTGGTTAAGCCATAACGAAGTAAAACTTGTCAAAAATGGTAACAATGTGCAAAACCCAGAGCAAAACCACTTTGCACTATTACTGCCCTGTAAAACATGTATCTTGGCAAATTATTTTATACAGGCATAAAAATGGTCACCGGCTTTTGATTGAGATCTGATGCAAAGAAAACAAGCCATCACAGCAATGACTGTGATGTAAAAATAGATTAGTGATGAAAATTTCGTGACTCTTTCAGGAAGCGTCTCTCTGCCACCTCGAACAGCGCTGTCGTGGCAATCAGATTGACCTCACGCTGAAATGAAGCTGGTGGTTGTTCAGAAAAGACAGGAACGAACAACGTGGAAATAGTTCTTTCTGAAGGGAATATGGCTAGTTCCCAAAGCAAAATGTGGAATACCATCAACTTCCCCCTCCCTCAACCAATAGCTTCCAAATGCTACACAAAGCTGCTTTAAAAATGTGTATTCAATGTGCTTTAGAAAAATAAAACATAGTTGTCCTATGAACTGAAGGGCTAATGCAGCTTAGTGTCTTATTGCTGTGTAGATTTTCTGATGCCTAAGAAGGTCTGAGCTCCACTGAAGGCTCTCCTACCATGGGGATAGTCATAGCGCTCCCTACCCCAGGGGGATTCTCTATGAAGAGCATTCACACTGCAGCCTTTATTGCTGTAGGGGTAATAGCAACATCCGCCTTTTTTAGCTGGCTGTTCGCTTTCACAACACATTTAGGAACTCTCTACTTTTGAGACCACTAGCCCTCTGCAATATTTGCTTCCAGCTGGTTATCGGTTCTTAAGTTATTTCAGGACAGAAGAGGATCTGGGGGATGTAGAATGGGCAGTCAATATTTTCAGAAACCTTGCCTCTCTAAGAAACTACTCAGAGTATCTCAATATTATCAAAAACGTTAGTGGGTATAACAAATCACTGCCAGTTTTACAAAGCACAGATTCAAGACTGACATATTTTCTTTTACTCTATCCTTAATAAAAATCTTTCTCACATAACCTCTGCCCCCTTAATAAACGTAAGCACTGCTGTGAATACAAAAAAATATTAGCTTGAAATTAAAACCAATGCAGTTATTAAGAACTAGAATCCACACTTTCTTCTTTTGTAGAACTCTCACAAAAGAACTTAATCTGATCAGTGTAGAATTATATGGTCTCCATTTTCCTGGGAAATGTGGCATATCTAGCGATAAGAACAGTGTAGACGAGCTGCAGAGAAAAGGAAGTCACTTTTACTAGTACAGCACTACAGCAGCTTGATTTACACAGCACAAAAGTGTGAACTGTCACTACATGTATTAGGAAACAGCGAGTACTGGGAAGAATACAGAGATGCTACAACGCTAGTTCAGTAGCCCAATTTGTATATTTAATAATAATAAATTTTAAAAAAGCTAAATCCGTGAGAATACTAAGGGGTCTCACGAGTGCTTTTAGAGTTACAGAGTAACATTACTCATAAAAGATCCACTAATTAAATCTTCAAAATAATCTATGAGCAAAACACCATTTTATCTGAAGCTTATTTGCAGGAGTAGTGTTGCATGATACCAGATTAAAGACAAAGACTGGGAACTAGAAGTACAAAGAATTTTGCATGTTAAACCAAAACTTTGTGCAGTTATCTTCACATATGGAAAATCAACAGTCAAACTCAGAAACACAACAGAAGTCACACACAAAGATCACCCATCTGAAAACACAACTGTAAGGACGATACTATGATTCTTCACACAGGAAAAATACAGTAGGCAAAATGTGTGAGCTGTCTTCTTTAGAGAAAACAAAATTTTCACTGTTAGAGAAAAACTGTATAGAAAGAAATGCAAAAGGTACAATTTCCACTAATCAACCAGCATTTAGCAATCATTACCAGGTACAGCACCTAAGATAACGCAAAGAGATCTTGTTCTGTGCATGATGTTATCTGCCTCAGTTACCACCACTAACAAATGTTCAGACTGAAAAAAAGAAGTCTAAAAATTTAGCTAACAGAACTCTTGAGCTACTGAGCACAAATTAAGTTATCCCTTTACCATAAATAACAAATCAAGAACGAATTTTCTACAATTTAAGATGAGACACGTTAGGGAAAGTTCTCAGCATAAGCTAGGAGTCAAACTCCTCCTAAATTTCGCTGCAAACGTCACAATAGGGACAGGTGTCATTTATCCGCTATCACAACAACTGAAAGCAGTAACCTACAGGCTCTTCTGCCACTTACTGCTAAAGATGATAGATCGTATAAACTGCTTACTACAATCTACAGAAATTGCAAATTTAGCTGCCAGGTTATTAATATTGAAATTGGAAGAAAAGAAGGTTTCAAAGTGGTAAATTAGTAGTAAAGTAGTAAATTAGCAATAGGCAGAATGCTGGTCATATTGAAATTGGAAGAAAAGAAGGGTTCAAAGTGGTAAATTAGCAATAGGCAGAATGCTGGTGACCTACAGAAATCCCACAAAAAAACACTGGGTCTGCTGCTGCATCTAGATCTACATTGCTGGTGACCAGTATACCGTTACACTATGAGAACTGATGAAAGCTCTATTGGTCAACCCAGGAATGAGGGAATAGTACAGTTTATTATGACTCTTTATAACAAAGGAAGTAGTCCAAGCCCTAGGTTACTCCTGATGCTAAAATAATAATAAAATCCAAGCCAAATTTAGTGAAGGAACGTTTTTCCATCTGCTTTCCTAGAAAGCAACACGCTCCTCTTCACCTAATGACTTTGCTACAATTACCTTGCCTTTGATGTCCAGAGATTAGATTTACTGAATACGCTTTCCTCAGGCTGAACACAGACACCATTCAGAAAAATAACGACTGTAGCACTGCACTTGTTCAGCAGCGTGCCCAGCTGCAAGTCCAGAACTCAGGTGCTCTGCAAGCTGTCTAAGTCCTTACGGATGTGGCCTCGTTATCGTTATTATTACTATGCCCTAAACACTTAGGGTCTACTTTACCCAAAGCTTTTTTTTTTTTTTAAATAGAATTACCTCTCTGGACAAGATCACCACATAATCAGAAAAACCCCAGTGCTGTCCCAAAGGAGAAAATGGAAAGAAAACAGTGTCAGAGTCTACTTAGACAAATTAAACATTGCTATGGAACCGCAGCCTAAGCTAAAAAGCTGCTGTGGTCAAGCTGCTGTCCATAAAGATACATTAATAATGGAACATGTTTTCTTCCAGTGTTTTCTAAGATCATGGTTCAGTTAAACAGCAAAGCAAACTTCAGAGCCTACATTCTCTTTGCAGCAGTCATTAAAACAGTAAAAGCAGTCATATTTGAAAAGATTATTTTTTGAAGGGTCTGAAGAGAGGGGTAGGAGCTTAAATTACGAATACACAACTGTGAGCTTCCTCACTTAGAGAAAAATATGGGTGCATAACAGTGACAATGGAACAACCTCCAACAGGTTTTATCGCTCACAAACAAGTGACAGGCATGTAGACTTGCACTCCTCCTGTAATGGGAGCCTTAAGCATAATCCTGGTTTGTGTTTACAAATTAAGCAAGACAAAACACCCATTCTTGTAAGTCAGTTCATAAGGATCAACTGAACGCAGATGAGCAGGAGACTAGCAATAATTACCCCTCTGCTCAGAGCTTACTGTCTAATAAAATACAGGCATGAAAGTGTTTAGGAATACAAGGAGTATTTCACCTAATCTCATCCTCAGTTTCAACAACAGTAGCTCCCTCATAATCACACTGAAAGAGGGAAATAAAAGTTACAAGACGTACTAAATAGGAAAAATTGCAGTGTTTCTGAAAATTGCTGAGTATATTTATAATTTAAAGATACTAGTCATACTGTATGATTTCCAGGAATGCAAGGGGAGGTGTTTAAATATCGGACAAAGAAAAAAGAAGCCATCTCCCACAAAATGCATTGAAAAATAAGAATTTGGTGCAGTCTATTCCATCCCAGGGGCAATCAAGTAACTTCAGACACATTTTTACATGGCTCACAGAAAAAAAATCCTCTCAATCAGAAATGGTTTGACATTATCTGAACTCCTTGGGCAAGGAAATCATTCTTAAGCTGGACCTTGCCATGCTGTTATATTTTACTGTAAATCTGAAAGATTACAACTAAAGCAATGTTGAAACAATATGTCCTAGTCTATGGTGACCGCAAAGTTAAGGTTGGCATTGTGCAGTGTAATGCAGTTATTCGTAACAGTATTCAAACAGAGTAACATTATTAGTCTAGGAAGAGCCCAAGGCAGCAGATTCATATCACAGGTAACTGAAGTCCCAGGAACTTTCCCTAGCCCTCAACAGCAACTGCCAATGGAAGATCAACCTATTTGAAAAGGCTGAAAGAGGAAGGGGGGGGGGGGAAGTCTATGTTCTGATCTTCTCTTTCATCTCTGTCTGAAAAAAGATGTAAATTATGAGCAGCTACCTCCGTGTCTTGAGCTCTTTTTAAGTAACTTAGCAGCAAGAGAGCAACAATCACATTTGAAGCCATGCTATTACACATACCCACAATATTTAATATATTATTTAACTTGAAGTTGTCATTACCTGTCCAATCTTCCTACGTTCTAATGTACAAAGAGCAATTCTGCTGTAAAACTTAGGAATAAAGCTGCACCGTCCAAGTCTGCTATTCAATTTATGACCAATTTTTCAAAAGCACATAGGTGGTTAAGGAGTTTCATCTCATTCTCAATTCAAAACACAGGCACTAGCCATTGGAAAAAAAAAATCAGGACACAACACCATCAATTTCCTCTAAATCACTTTAAGAACACTGGTAAAAACATTAAAAACAGCTTCTCTACAACAAGCAGTCTATTTCATTTTAACTGTATAATAAAACCGTTCCCCATGTTCTACCCTAGCCACCTACTAAGTGGGATATATAGACGAGAACCTAAGACACTAATTTCCAGCCTTTTTATGCTTGTATTGGTATTAAATGAACTTTAGAAATCTTACTTAATTTTCAGTTTACAATGCATTTTACTTATGAAAAAATATTTATCTTGTAATTCTCAAGAAAGAATAAATGTAAAATTTGCAGTATCATAATTGTGCTGAACTGTCTTGGTTTTAATGCCAAACCTTGCCTCCTGAACTCCAAGCACTATAACTTTATTAGTGTCAGATCTGTCAGTGTGGCTGTCTGCTGGTGCAGTTACTCTTCTTACTTCTTCCATTTGAGTAGCGGATCCCTTGTAAGAGCAAGTTTTCAGCATGATGGAAATCTCCTCAAAGTCCTTTTATCCCATTTTCTAGTACAGACTTGAAATATTAGTTCCAATAAAATTTCTGAAAAGTTTTTACATCATTCAGAAGCCTATTATTTAGCATGCACTAGAATTAACTTGAGAACAAAACATTTTCTATTACTATTAGAAATATTCATTCTATTACTGTTAGAATTCATTCTATTACTATTTGAAACACGAAAATTTATACAACTGCATTTCAGAATATACTTACCCTGGATTATAAAGCATAACTGCTGACAGGTTCTCACAAGATTTTGAAAGATCTGTCATAGACAAGCTGAAGGAAGACAGCAGTCCACTCTAACAACAGACCATAAAATGAAAGTATTAGACAAACACTACCGTGCCTACAAAAAAAAGGTACAACAATAATCAAGATGTGCCTATATCAGGGGGAAAATTGTGGAAAAAAATTAAATAAAACTTAAATTCCCCCAAACACTCATTTAAGCTCACCTTTCTTTTTTCCCTTAGCTTGGCAGCTTCTTTGGGGTGGTTAAAGCGAAACATATTGGTTCTTCCAAGTAATATAACAGCACCTGATGAGAGGAAAGAAAACCACACCATTTACTGACAACATGCTGCACCTGAAAATGCCATATATTTTTTCAATCAACCAAAACGTAAGCAAAGACTTTTATAAAGAACTTAAATTTAGAACTTAAAGTAATAAAGAGTTAAAGTGTATAAAGATGTATGATCACAGCTATGTTAACTGCTGTATATATACGTTCATTCCTTCATGCTCCTACCTAAAAAAAGGACACACAATCATGCACACAAAGATCACTCATGTTGATATAGTTTAGATGAGGAAGGAGAGGAAGCAGCAGAAGCAGCTGCCCCAAACTTTTCCTATACA